GGAATGCATTAGCATAATAGGCAGCATCCAACAGCCGAAACTCATTAGCATATTAGGTCACAGCACAGCTCATTAGCATATTAGGCCACACCCCATGCCTTCTCTTGGCTTGCCCGGGTGCCCGGTGGCTGTGGGGAGCCTGGGCAAGCCCTCCTTGAAGGAAAGGGAAGGCAGTTTAAACTGCCTTCCCTTGGCTTGCCCGGGCGCCCTGCGGCTGCGAGGACCCTGAGCAAGCCGGCCCTTGGACAGGCCGGGGAAGGCATAGAGAGGCATTTAAATGCCTCCCCAATCTTTCCAGGGCTCCCCCGGCCCCCCCGCCTTGGAGTGGCCGGTTGGGTCGCTCTCCAGGCCTTCCCTCTGTAGCCACGCACGCAGAGGTTTTGGTTGTAGTGGGCGTGGCCAACTCTGAAGCCAGCCAGAACTCCGTTCCTGTGCGTTCCTGCCCAAAAATAGCCCTGAGATATGCCAAGATAAAGAATGAAATTAAGTGGCTAGTAGCTCTGCAATCTCCTCTAACTTTTTCTGCCTGTCAGGAAGGGGGCTACAGAAGTTTCAACAGTGACAGTTTACCTTACATAGCTGCGTTTCATATGACCACTCTTAATGCAGAGGAGGAGGAGGAGAAGAAATCAGATTTATACCCCACCCTCCACCCAGAGTTTCAAATTGGCATACAATCTCCTTTCCTTTCCTACAACAGACACCCTGTGAGGTAGGTGGGGCTGAGAGAGCTCTTCGAGAACTGCTCTTGAGAGAACAGCTCTGCGATAACTTATGATTGACCCAAGGTCACCCAACTGGCTACATGGGCAGGAGTGGGGAATCAAACCCAGTTCTCCCAGATTAGAATCCGCACTCTTAACCACCACACCAAACTGGCTCTCAAACATTCTCATTAATCCAAACATGTGATTATCTGAGTGAGGTTTAATTCCAATTAATACCACATAGAGAAAGAACCTAATAGGACAACTGCATTGCCAGGTTCCCGTTTTTACCTATGAAATGCTCTCCAATCCTTCAATGGAAACTGCTGTATTTCAAGTAAAGTTTGATTTAATGACAGTAAACAGGCTCATGACACTTCCATCCCTAACAACCCAATCCTCAACTCTTTAATTTGGAAGACAATCCCATGGATGTCAGGGGGAGCTTTCCAGCAAGTATGCTCGCTCCTGAAGGTCCATGGCCCTGGTCACATGGCAAAGTTGCCGCGGGAGAGGCACGGATGGTGGGCGGATTATCCGGGCGTGATCACACCCCAACATCTGGGAAGTGGAGTGCACCCGTGGCTTACCGCCGACAATGCGAGTTAAAAAACTAGTACCTCCAAGGTACTAGTAAACGTTTGCCACGGGCTGCCTCCAGACTCCCGTAGTGTGATCGCGCCGGCGCACGGCATTCCCCTCTGGTCCCTTGTTTACCCGCCAGCGCCGAGGGACGGACCCGTGGTGTGCCGCCAGCGCATCTGATCGCGTAATCGCAGATCAAACTGCGCCAGGGCAATTAGCCACGCCTCCCCCCGCGATATCCGGCCTGTGTGACCGGGGCCCATGTTAGGTATTCTCCTTAATGCACTGCTGCCATTTTTGCAAACCACTGTGTATCTAATTCCCCTTCTTTGCCATGCTAATATCTTGTAGAACTTTATCCGCTGTCCCGATATCATAATGTCCCACGTTTCCCTATTGCCACTCCACATTGTTGGCTGACAACAGCAAGAGCAAAATACTGAGGAATGTCATGACTTGAGGCAGATTCTATTATAGAGGAGGTGGAGGGAACCAGAGGAACAGCTGATGTTTCAACGGCAGCTATACATTTAGGGCAATGTCTAGTTTAGTATTAAGAGTTCCTCTAACTTCCCAGTTCCTTAAAGCCTTTCCAAAATCCCATCATAGCAGGAAAAAATACACCTCCTCCAAAGTCAAAAGCTCTCAAGATAAGAGCTGAACAATGAGGGTTCTGGGAGCCCTGGCTTGTCCTGATTGTGTCACTGGCCTCAGGATTATTGATCAAAATGCTTCAGAGTCATCTGGAACTGTAAAGTTACCCGTGCATGATTTGCAGAGACAAGAACGGAAACACTTTCACACTTCCCTGAATCTGAAACTGAATTTGAGAGTCCCACGTACAAGATGTTGAGCGCAACAGTTTCTAATTCAGGAGATTCCCACACCACAGGACAAGTTTCGCCTCTTCAGAATGCCTCCCCCAAATTCATATCAAAACCTTTGATTTCAGTTTTTAAAAATTCAGATGTACAACATGTATAGATCTACTTTAGCCTGGAGCAGAAAGTCAAAACTTTATTCAAGATTTTCTCAACCGGGATGTCTCAGGGCACACACAGACACACACGCCCTGCCTCCTACACAACAGACTGTGTTGACCAGTCAGAAAAAGGCTTAATCAGGTTAATCAGTCACTCACCCTGCCCGTGTTTGTGCCCTGTGCTCAAGGGCCAAGATGGCCGTCCCGTAAGAGACAGGCAACGCTGCAGCCTCTTCATACGGAACTCCCTGCGGGATTGTCCAGAGCAACTTCATAAAAGAAATAAAAATAATCAATCTCGTATTGAGGGATGAAAGATTATTCCATTACAGAGAAGAAGAAGAAGAAGAGAAGAGATTGGATTTATACCCTGCCCTTCACTTGGAGTCTCAGAGCGGCTTACAAACTCTTTTCCCTTCCCCTCCCCACAACAGACACCCTGCGAGGTAGATGGGGCTGAGAGAACTCTGACACAAACTGCTCTTTTTCAAGGACAGCTGTGCCAGAGCTTGTGACTGACCCAAGGTCACATCAGCAGGTGCAAGTGGAGGAGTGGGGAATCAAACCCGGTTCTCCCAGATGAGTCTGCACACTTAACCACTGCACCAAACAGAGGCCCTGCCAAAGCCCAGCGAACAACCATGTGCATTTATTTATTATGCTCTTAGCCCACCTTTAGTTGTGTATAGACTCAAGGTGGTTTACAATATTTTAAAAACGCAGCATGATGAAACAATTTCAAAGCAAATGAGATTGTATGCCTCAAAAAAACAATACCCACCAGATAGATTTAGCCATCAGTTAAAAATCTTCAGTTAAAAGCCCTCCTAATCAATTCCACGTTACTTCAACAGAGCCAACATTTCAAAAGATGTGGAAAAAACTGTATGACTGGTATAATATAAATGCATAGTTTAAAGTAATGAATTTTTTGGGTATTATTAATCTCTTTGAGTTTAATAGAAACTATGGTAAAAAGATAAAGAGTATAGAGAAACTTAAGCAAACCTATAGAAAGCGATCTAAGAAAATTTTTAAATATGGTAATAGAGAAATAAGAAAATATACTGATCTCTTTGTATGTCTTATGCATGTAAGTGGTTGTTTGTTTATATGCTGTATGTATGTATGTATGTGTATAATATGAAAAATAATAAAAGTGTACCTATGGGTACTTTAAAAGAAAATTCCACATTACTTCATATATCTAACAGGTATGGTACCACCCCCACCCCCCACCATGCAGATCAAAAAATCCACACAATGAGGCCACACACAGCTACGGTCTGTGATTCGGCAGAAAAATACAGAAAAAATAATAATAAAATTGGAGGCTAAAAAAATTCCCAGATTGTAACAGCAATGTGTATGGGTTGGATCCCACCTAGATTTCCGAATGCACCCTGGAGGGGAGTGATTTTTGCCAGTTTCCACAAAACGCTGCTTCTGACAGTCAGAGGACCCCCAGGAATAGCTTAGGGAAAATGGAATGTTTTAGCCTGGCATCTAAAAGAAAGTAAGGTTGGTGCCAGGTAAGCCTCACAGGGGAGGGCATACCAAAGGTGAGGCACATAACATACCCAACACTTCTTCCAGTGAAGTGAGTGGTGACAGATTACTATCTCTTCCATTTGGGAAATCATCCCATTGCTTTGCTTGGAATTACTAGAAGAACCAGTCAGGAGCAAAACTGTAGATAATGCTAAGAGAAAGGTTGATAAGATCCAGAATTTTAGATCTTCCTCCCTGCAAACTATGGTTTGCAAAATAAGGAGACAGCCTGAGGAAAATCCCCTCATATCATCCCCTTTGGTTACCATGGCTTAGTGTAATAGCTGTATAAACACTAACCAAGGTTAACATTAACCAGGACTTTCAGCTTATTTCAAAATCTGATTTCCAGACCCTGGTGGAAGAAAACAGTCAACGTTAACCATGATCAGCATCACTTGCACACGTAACATTAAAACATGGCTCAGGCACATAAAAGGAAGGAAGGGAGTTCATCCCAGAGAAAGACAGCAGATGTGGCAGACCACATGTGGCACAACATCTGTACCAGTCAGACCTAAAACACTGAGCTTTGTCCTGCAATCCATAAGTGGCACGGTTAACTGGCAAAAACAGAATGGGGGCAATGGCCTATGCACCTATCAGATGAAGGCAACTTTGAGGTTAGTAGAATTAAGAGAGGAGATTATAGTGCACCTGAGTTTTCCTTAGGCATTGCAAAGGATCTGGTTAAACCAGCTTTTGGCTAATAAGCATAGACTTGGTAGTGTATTGAGGAACAGTCCTGATCCAAACCACTAACTTTCTGGGTTTCATAACCAGAAAGGATAGCATAGCTTCAGAGGGTAGTGTCAGGCTCTCAGTCAACTCTCTCTCGACACTGTTTCTTTGAAGGAAACTTTATTGAAGAGATTTGAGATGCTTCGAAGCTGAAAGTCTTTGTTAGGACTAAGGGGCAAAGCAACAGGTCCCACAGTATAGTCAAAAGCCACATTCCATTCTTACATCATACATACAAAGCGAAACTAGCACCCCTGACTTGATGACTTGTGGGTTTGATGATTAAGGTATTAGGATACAAAAAAAGGGAGAGTTCTTTATTTTTCATAAGGAAAAGCTTTGTAATCAAACTTATATTTGTTGTAGAGAAAATCAGAAGTCTTTTCTGTTTTATGTTCTATTTTATGTATGTTTTTTCTGCTTTTTTCTCTCTCTCTCTATTTTATCAATAAAAACTAGAAATTCATAACTTGCTAGCTGAACGTGCAATGCTTAACTGTGATTAATGCAGATCAGGGCTTTTAGCCCAGCTTCAAACCATGTTTCCATATCCTAAATTGCAGGCAATGCTTTTGGCAACCAGATGTAATGATTATAACATTCTTAAGCATTCTATCTGCAGAGAACCACAGAAGAAGCCGCAATGCGCTGGGAAATATCCTGACGGTGTCTCCTCAAAGACAACCACACTTTCGTTAAAAAGATCTGTGGGATTTCCATTCTTACACAATTTGGAATCACAAGAATTTGAAAGAGGAAGTGTGCTGCCTCCTTCTTTGAAGCATATTTTAAAGTTACAACTTCCTTCTCATTCAGGCTGGGGAGGGGAGGGGGAGTGTTCACTGAATTTGCGCAAGGGAAATAAGGACACCATGGACTTTGTTCCCAAGCTCCAGTTCCCACGTCCAATGATCCCTCTAAGCTGTGGAGTCTTGTGAGCAACAATTCTATTTTCTGAGCTCCTGGCATGAAAGTTGTGAGCGAGCGATTTGGCTACTGCAGAAATTACTTTGCTCTGGAGCCCTCCTTCCTGAGCCAGGACAAAAATGTGTGAGTCGGAGGCTAAAAAACTGTGAGCTAGCTCACACTAGCTCAGCTTAGAGGGAACACTGCCCACATCCTGTTTTGGGGTTTCTCCCCAGTGACTGGGCAGCCTGAAAGAGGGAATCATGCTGTTTTTATACACCTCTCATATCAGGTAGTGTGGCAGAGGCCAAAAAAACAAACAAACCCTGCCACTCACTGTTTTCCTAAAAACAAATTTTTAAGGATAAACTGCCACTCAGTTCCTTTGTGGGAGAACTTTTCAGTCCATTACAAATGCTTTGATCAAGTGATCTGCTACATGAGGACAGAACATTACTTCTGCCTTTGTGTCTGCTGAAGGCACTTACCTTTTGATCAGCAACATACTCCTCAGCCAGAGCTTTGGTGTTGGCCACGCCAATGACACGATCCCCCTGTACAGAAGTGATCATCAGACAGCCGTTAGGATAAGACCCATCACTGCCCACCCTTTTAAGAGACTGACGTTTTCTGGCAGAAGAAATCCACACAGGAATCCACACAGACAAGGTGCCAGTCCCTGCGCTCATCAAAGCCAGTTTCTAATATAGGGCTCTTTTTATAGCAGGAACTCCTTTGCATATTAGGCGACACACCCCTAATGTAGCCAGTCCTCCAAGAGCTTACAGTAGCCCCTGTAAGAAGAGCTCTGTAAGCTCTTGGAGGATTGGTTACATTAGGGGTGTGCCGCCTAATATGCAAAGGAGTTCCTGCTACAAAAAGAGCCCCAGAGCAGGAGACGTAGTCCAGGACAGACAACCCCATACTAATTGAGAGGGGGCAGCTTCTTCCTGGTGGTACCTCTTAGCTCCACATCCCCATTTATGCTACAGGGGTCAAATCAGCACCGCAAAAATCTGCTAACTGTACAAAGCCTAAAAAATAGCAAGGTGTATCCAAGCATGCAGTTGCAAAAACTTAATTGCAGCTTAAGTGCTTTTAAGAGGGAGGGCAGCAATTTCTGCCAATTTCCCCCCCTTCCAGCTGCAGACTCCCACGGATGCTGTTCCTGAGGGTCTCCTGACCCACAGAATCAAAATTTCACAGGAAGCAGGAAAATTCTTAGAGTCCACAGACTGTTGGTTACAGTCCTGTGTTGTGTACTGGTTAAGAGCAGCAGAGACTAATCTGGAGAAACGGGTTTGACTCCCCCTCCTCCGCATGAAACCTGCCGGGTGATCTTGAGCCAGTCACAGTTCTCTCAGAGTTCTCTCAGCCCCACCAACCTCCAAAGGTGCCTGTTGTGAGGAGGGGGATGGAAGGCCACTTTGAGACTCATTAAAGTTGAGAAAACAAGGGTATAAAAACCAACTCTTCTTCTTATTTATTTATTTATCAGATTTATACCCCGCCCTCCCCCGTAGGGCTCAGGGCGGCTTACAAGGCAAGATAGACTTGCTACAATAAAACAACCATATACCTATAATTTTAAAAACATACTATACAATTTAAAAAGAAACCAGTCCTAAATCACATAAAGTGCTCAGTGATAGTCAGAACTCCAAAAACCCAAGATGACAGGACAATTCCAAAAACGGTTCTTGGCAGACAGTCTATAGCGTCACTGTTCAGATGTTCATATGATCCTTCTCAGAGGTTCTTCTCAGGGCCTCTTCCAGCCCCCCCCCCCGGATGGCAACAATGGGGGGGGGCCTACTTGAAAGCCTGGTGGAAGAGCTCCGTCTTGCAGGCCCTGCGGAACCATCAGATCCCGCAGGGCCCGGATCTCCCCTGGGAGCTCGTTCCACCAGGTAGGGGCCGCCACCGAAAAGGCCCTGGCCCTTGTGGCAGCCAATTTTGCATCCCTCTTCTTCCTCTTCCTCTTCTTCCTCTTCTTCAGCCCTGTTAATTTTTCTCCGAACATCACAAACTAAAACTCTTCGCATACCAATAAGCAACTGTATCAATGTCTCCTAGTTTCCCCTCTGCCAATTTGCTTGGCACAAACCACTCCACGTTTAAATCTCAGCCCCTGGGGCTCTTACCTTCTTCACGCCACTGACATCCACTCCACTCTCCATCACATCCCCTGAAAATTCCATTCCTGGAAGAGAAGATCACAGATTTGCATTTGCCGTAGGCATGACCAGCCACTCCTGCCCTTGCAGAGGGCATCAATCTGCAGATCAATCATACGAAATCCACGTGCAAACACGGGCTAGCTGATGAATAACAATCTCCCTATCCATCTGGTATTTTCCCAGATACTGATATCACAAATTGTTATATATACATACGGTGCACGTTAGGGTATCTCACACAGAACAGAACTTTTGAGGATAAAGATTAATGCAGAGAATTGGCCAGAAGGGGTCCCTATGTATATAATTAAGATGATGGGGTGGGGTGTTTTTTTGTTTTTGTTTTTAAAAAAGATGTATGGAAGTGTGGGAATATGAACAACTCCTGTGAGGCATGCCCAGGACGAGTTCAAGTTCTCACCGGGAGACTGGCAAATGCACAAGGTCTTCTGAGTCTGCATGAGTCTGCTGAATTACTGAGAGCACAAACTTTGCAACATTCGGGCAAGATAATATGAACTATGAGTAAAGAACATTCTGTGAAACACACTGTGATTTCTAGCTTAGAGTCTTTTTACTGTTTGTAACATTTTCACTGGACAGGGAAGGGGGGAGAAATGTGTGTGAGCCTGCTCTGAATAAAGGGCTGCTGACAGTCTGTCAGAAAACGGTTTGGTACAGAGAGAGAGCTGACAGAGAGCCTAGTCAGTAAGCTTCAATAGATCTGTTGTGTTGTGTCGTTATTGAACCCTAAACCTACATGGAACGGTAACACTGGCTATTTGGGGGTTAAAGACCACCACCAAACATGACAGAACTGAACAAAGTTGACAATGATCAAACCATCCTAAGGAATTTCGTCAGAGTGGCTGGAGGAGACAGTGTGCGGAACCGGTCACGGTCATGCTCCCTGAAGTAATGAAGGGGCTCAGATCAGCTAAAACTGAATCCTGAAGCTGGCGTCTGCAAAGGTAACACAAATGCAGGAGGAGGAGGAGGAGGAAGAGAAAGAAGCTGCTGAGTCACAACCGACTCATGGCAACCAGCCACGGGGCATTCAAGGCAAGAGAGGAACACAGGTGTTTTGCCACTGCCTTTCTCTACTTGAGCTGCGGTGGCTCAAGTGGTTAAGACGCTGGACTGCAGGCTGTGGAAGGTCGGTAGTTTAGCAGTTCGAGATCCGAGTGTGCCGCATGACGGAGTGAGCTCCCATCTCTGGTTCCAGCTCCTGCCAACCTAGCAGTTCGAAAGCAAGAAATTGCAAGTAGATAAATAGGTACCACTTCGGTGGGAAGGTAACAGCGTTCCGTGCGCCTTGGTGTTTAGTCATGCCGGCCACATGACCACGGAAATGTCTTCAGACAGCGCTGGCTCTTCGGCTTTGAAACGGAGATGAGCACCGCAACCCTAGAGTCGGATTCGACTGGCTTTCGAGCAAGGGAAACCTTTACCTTTTACCTTCTCTACGTTGCAACCCCAGTCTTCCTTGGTGGTCTCCATAAAATACAATTTAAGAACCTCTAAAACCGCATAAAAGTACAGTATATACAATAAATACAATACAAATGCCCTCGTTTTAAATTGCATATGATTTTATGAGGCTGCGGGTTTCCCCCCGTCATTTGAAACAACTAATCTTTTGTGAATTGCTTTGAGTACATTTTGTAGAAAGACAAAAGGTAAATATTTGAAATAAAATAACATTAAAATGCATATACAGCCACATCAGCAATATGGAGAATTATAATGCCGGCCCTTTTTACAGGGCTATTTACTTATTTATTTATTTATTATTTACATTTTTATCCTGCCCTCCCCGTAGGCTCAGGGCGGCTGTATTGTAAAGATGTTGTGAGATGTAATGTCTCTTTAATATGAGTCGTCTCTTGGCACAGGTGTAAAGTATTTATTAGCCTAGTGCTGTCTTGGCAGCAGTCATCTCCTTGATGCACTGTATGGCCTTCTCTGCGGAGGCATTCTGGAGATGTGGATACACCAGACTATTTGTTGTGTGGATGCCTGACTGTGACTTTCTTCTCTGCCTGGGTCAGATAAGATATTACAGATACAATATATAAAGTGCACTGAAGATCTGAATAAATCGTGTCAGCGCTATCCACTGCTGGATCAGAGAGCTGTGTGCTCCACTTGTTGCGGTTATACACATTTGTTAAACGATTAGAAAAGGAGATAATATTATATCTTATTTTTGTACTTGGTTCCTTTCACTGTCCCCTAAACTGGAGAACCAGTGTGGTGTAGTGGGTCTAGCACTGGATTAGGATCTGGGAGACTCAGGTTTGAACCCCCACTCACCCGTGGGAACTTGCTGGCTGACTTTGGGCCAGTCAAGGACATTCAGTCTAACCGCCCCCAGGTTTGTTTTGAGATTAAAATGGAAGACAGGAGAATGTTGCTTTGGATCTCCACTGGCAGGACAGCTGTGGGGGGGGTGGGGGTGGAGAAGAAGACTTGGTTTTATACCCCGCTCTTCACTACCTGAAGGAGTCTTTGAGCAGCTTGGGCTCTTTTTGTAGCAGGAACTCCTTTGCATATTAGGCCACATACCCCTAATGTAGCCAATCCTCCAAGATCTTACAGAGCTCTTCTTACAGGAGCTAATGTAAGCTCTTGGAGGATTGGCTACATTAGGGGTGTGTCGCCTAATATGCAAATGAGTACCTGCTACAAAAAGAGCCCTGCGTCCCTTCCTCTCCCCCCAATGGACACCCTGTGACATAGGTGAGGCTGAGAGAGTTCTCGGAGAACTGTGACTGGCCCAAGGTCACCCAGCTGGCTTCATGTGGAGGAGGAGTGGGGAATCAAACCGGGTACTCCAGATTCGGATGTTGCCACTCTGAACCACTACACCACGCTGGCTCTTAACTATACTACACCAAGCTGGCTGGATCTGAACCATAGATTCTTCTCTTTTCCATCCATCTCTAGTTGGAGCGATGAGAATAAAGCTTAGCAATGGTTTCAAGTTGAGCCTGATATGGATTTTTTTTTCTTGGCTTACGGAAGCTCACTGTAACAATGCCTTTGGTCCTCAAATGCTAGGTTAATATTTTAAAGAACCTACTAACCTGGGGTGAATGGAAGGGAGTGTTTTTCTTGGTAAAGACCCTGACAAGCCAGTATATCGGCAAAATTTACTCCACAGCAACGGACACGTACTCTGACCTGAAAGACAATATGGATTATCACGACTCTTCTGACTGAGAAACCTTAAAAAAATGGATTTTTACATCCAAGAAAGAGAAAGCTTGAAAAGAAAGAGACAACTCATCTAGGTCCAGTTCCCTTGCTAAAACTGGGGTATCCTGTGCAGTTAGGCTGTGCAGTTAGGCTGTTCCACTGTGTAATCCTAAACCGGGTTATATGCTTCTAAATCCAGTGAAGTCATCCACTGAAGACCCTACTTAGCATGGCACTGTACAGTAGCTACTCATGGGGTTGCCAGCAGACCTGGGCAAATAGTCCTGTCCCTTTAATGAGGGCTTAATGTGTGGAAATGAGCCAATTAGGCTTTTAGTGGCAAGGAGAAAACAACATCCCCTGGTACATAACATCCCATTAAGCCTCTATTAAGGGGATATGACCACTTTTCTCCAGGAAGTTGGCAGCTATAGCTACTCAGCTGGTTGGCTATGATAAGAATAATTCCCAGATGGCCAGTCAGAGAAGCTTATGAAAGCCAAATAATAGGTGGTTGGGGGGGGTGGGGTGTTTTCCAGGCTATTGAAATGAAACATAGGCTATAGGGATAGTAAGAAAAACTGTGGGCTAGTAACTTTTACAATGTCCTGTATGATCGTACCTAACTATTTACAACAGTGCACCTGTTCTATGCTGATCTCATTTAGATACCATGAATATATTTTAGATCTCTACACAAAGGCCATTATTTGGTTTTATCAGTGTTAATCTCCATCCGATTTTGCTGACAATAATTAGTAAGTGTACGCAGCGCTCTCTTTAGCCCAGCCGGCGTCCTCGAGAAAAGCATAGCGTCATCTGCATAAAGTAGTATAGAAATATGCCTATTTGCTATCTTTGGGGGATGATACTCTAGTTTATTTAGACATTCCACCAAGTCATTTATATAAAAATTGAATAACCATGGTGCTAAAATGCAACCCTGATTTACCCCTTTTCCTGATCTTATCAGTGCAGTTCGATGACGTTGTGGGGTGCATCTTATTTGTATTGTGGTGTTTTTGTATAATGTTCACATCAAAAATAAAAGGCATCTCTCAGCAGAAGAGGCCTTTATCCCACAATATATTCCTACAGACGGAATCAAAAGCAGACCTAAAATCAATGAAGGCTACATATAAAGACATGTTAATTTCTACAAATGTAGAAAAGAGCAAAGAGTCCAGTAGCACCTTAAAGACTAACAAAATTTGTGGCAGGGCACGAGCTTTCATGAGACAGTGCCTCACAGACAGACTAACATGGCTACCCATCTTAATTTCTACAGGCATTGAGGCTTTGGGATTGGACCAAAGTATGGTATTTATCATATATTTAATTATGAACTTGAACCTAGACTCTAGGGCCTAGAGCATGGATCAAAAAAATTGCACACTGGAAACTGACATCCTATATACATGATGGATGGATTCCAGAATTCAAAGAAAAATGGAAAGTATTTCTCAATTATACAGCCGAAAATTAAGAATAAACTTAAATCTAAAAGAAAATAGAAAAAGTGAAATAATAAAAAGAGACTGGCAACAGCATTAGAGGTAAAGATAAACAGAAAAGACAGAATAAGGATATTTAAGTAGAAGTGAAAAATTAGGAATATATATAAATTCTAAATAGATGTTTTGGATTGATAGCTATATAGCTGAATGACTGTAATCTAGATGATGGTGTTTATGTATATATATGTTTTATGAATAATTTAGACAATTGTAGATCATTATAGTTGTGGATGTCATAGAAGTATGGTTTAGATGAGGGTTGTGTGATTGTAGTTTATGCCTTATGTTTGTAAGTTTGTGTAAAATAAGATTTAAAAATTAAAATTGCACATTGGGGCCAGATATGGAAAGGCGAGATGTTTGTACATATTTATAGAAAACTCCCACATTTTTAAATAATGGGGTGCCGGGGAATGAGAGCAAACAATGCAACATTGTGTAAAAACAACATGCTGTATTCTGTATTGAAATCATTCTAAATTTGCGGGCATCAGTGTGTCTCCATACTATTCAAAATGAATTTCAATATAGAGTAGATACTATTCAAAATGGATTTCAATATAGAGTAGAACACACTGTTTTTACACAGCGTTGCACTGTTTACTCTAGTGTTACCCACCGTGTTCCTAGTTTGCATTTCATTATACTGGGGAATGAGAGCAAGCATGAATTTCTTCTCCTTGCCAACAGGCAGTGACAGTTCACGATGACAATCCTTAAATCTACACATCCACGCTGTTGAGTAACCCCCACTTCTGCCTCTGAATCTTCAGAGGTATCTTCATTCTTCTTCTTTAAAGGCATCAAAAATATTGCCACCTTTTTACCTCATGAGGCTGCAGAGAAGAAGATGGGACATCCCTCACAACCAATGGCTTTGTCAGCTCAGTACAAAGAGCTGCCCGATAGGCCCTTCGGAACGGCAAGAGGCTGAAGCCACTCAGAGAGATGGGACCCAGTGATTCTTGGCCAAAGGCATTCCTCCTGCAACACAACAGTAAGTAGCAATGTTATAACAGCCTGCATTCCTGTCCTCAAGTTTTAGATAAAATGCCTTTCATTGAACCATCTGCTTGTGCTAAAACACGCAAGCTTTTAAGGGGCACAAACCTCACTTGACCTGATGCAGATGAAATGCATCCTAACCACGACCAGAGACAGGAGCTCACTCCGTCATGCGGCAACTCGGGTCTCGAACTGCTGAACTACCGACCTTCCACAGCCTGCAGTTCAGCATCTTAACCACTTGAGCCACCGCAGCTCCTTTAACTAGGGTACAGCACTGCAATTTCACCAAAGCCAACTATGTTTTTCCCCCCAAAACCAGACTTTGTAAACCAGTTTCTAACCCCGCTTCAAAGGCTACCCATGGTTCACACCAGTGCAGACCCAGTGCCATGCCACAGGCAATGGTAACCAGGGAAAAGATGAAGGGGATTTTTTTGTGGCAACGGCAGGAAGGAGCAACAGAGTCCCATGGTAAACAAGATTCTATTGGTGCTCAGGACATTGCAGGTAGGCTTTAACCGTGAATTTGGAAAGCCAGTCAACGAGCTTGTAAAGTTCTGAACCACCAAAAAGATCAGTTTCGTAACAACAAAGTGAGAACGTTTGGTGCTAAGACACTACTTAATTATTAACTTCTGCTGTCTCTAAGCATTGCTGGGTTGAATCATAACGAAGTTTATCATCTAGAAGAAAAGATGACCTCTGATCCGTCTCAAAAGTCTCTCTGTGTGAAAAATCTCTTCCTAGATTCTCCCTTTGGCTCTTTCTTGTCAAGTGCTACATCCCTACTCGCTATCAGATTGCCTTACTTTTAATTAACAGACTATCTATCTGACCTGTCAGGAAATACACAGCAAAAAGATGCACGGACCCAGTCTTCCTCCACCATCTCCCTGAATCTCTTGCCATGGGAACTTAGCAAGGCTTGCATGCTCCTTGTGTTCTGGGTGCATTTTCCTCATACTTATAAAAGCCACCCACTTGTGTGGTGCGTGAAAGATCATCTGCAGATTGCAACCACAGCATTTTCTGCAACCTTTAGAAGTGTATCTCGGAGACACTGTGAATCTGATGAAACAGGCCCTAAAAGCTTACAAAGACATACAACTAGGGGGGGTAAACCTGAGCACTGCCACCATCAGGACATTAAATATAAAAGATCTCTGACATTTCTAAGCAAAATAAAAGTCATAGGCTTGTCCCACTGATAGTTTTAGATACCACCACACATCTGAGGAAGTGAAGCGCAGGACAGCCTCTACCACAAGAAATCCACTAGCTGTTTAGGGACTGAAAGAACCTTTGTTTATTTTTATTTCTTTATGTATTTGTTCGACTTTAATCCCGCCCTCCCGCCTAAGCGGCTTTGTTGTTTGTGATGTAGCAGACCTCTGCAGCTACTTCTTTGAACCAAGTACTCCCTCCTCTGCAGGTGGAACTGACGCCGCGCAGGCTTTTGCCTCGGGAGTCTCAACCCCTCCCTGGGTTTACAAGGTGCAGATCAGGACGCCGCACAGACGGAACGAGCTGGGAAGCAGCAGCCGAGGGCTTCCCCATGTCTGCAAAAGCAAAGCTGCCGGCCCTTTTTCTTGAGCAGGAGACGGGAGCAAAGAGGCCGGGTGGGGACCGGGGAAGAAAAGCAAAGCGAGCGGGAGGCTCCTGGGACCGCACCTGCAGTTCTCCAACCGGAAAGCGCTCCTGGCGCGCAAACTCCAGCGCAGCCCGGCCGATCCGCCCGCCGTAGCCATGCCGCCCAGCGCAAACAAACTGACCCCCGTTTGGGACCGCTTGGCTGCCAGCTCGGATCGGCCCTTCTCTCCTTCCTCCCGCAGGGAAGCCCCGCCTTTCCGACCCGCCTCCCGGGTGGAGGCTTTCCCGGAGAAAGAAGGAAATGCCCCCTCTTCCCCCCGCCCTGCGGACGCGCTTCTCAGTTCTTGGAAAAGGGAAGTGTGGGCTGGGGCTGAAATCGGGGGAAATCGTTGAAATCGGGGGACTTCCGTGTGAGTAAGCAGGCATAAAATCCGTACTGTGTGTAGGAGGGGGCAGGCTGTGTTTCCACAGTGGGAGAGGGGGAAACCTCAAGCCTGGCTGTACATGATGCTTTCAGCCCCCCGTGCCAAGGAGGACGGGGCTCCTTTAACAGAAACAGATGTGCCGCGTGATTAAAAAGGCGTGGGTAGAATCAACACAGCGGCGCTTTAAATGCGAAGCACTACTTCCCCTTGGTCACTAGAGGGACCAAAAGACCATTTGTGTGTCCCTTAAGCGCTGTCAAGTCGCTGCCGACTTCTAGCGACCCTATGAATTAAACGTGCTCCAAAACGTTCTTCTCACAGCCTTGCTCAGCTCTTGCAAGGCCGCTTGGACATCAGCTCGGCGTTGCTGCTCGAACATCACAAGGGAGAGGTGGAATTTGCCCCCAGGAGTCCAAGGCCACCACACCGAGGCTCAGGGAGGCAGGGAACATTTCACCCCTCCCCCCGCAGCCGCCAACAGCGTCGGCAGCCATAACTTTTTAAAGAGCCCCTAATGAGAGCTGGGAGAGCCAGAATGACCTCTCGCATGTGATGTCCTAGTGGCAACCCCGAGGCTCAGGGACTTAACTTTTTAAAGAGCCCCTAAGGAGAGCTCGGGGAGCCAGAATGACCTCTCCTATAATGTCATCACAAGCGAGATGACATCACACGCAAGAGGTGGAATTTGCCCCTAGGAGTCCAAGGCCACCACACCGAGGCTCAGGGAGGCAGGGAACATTTCACCCCTCCCCCCGCAGCCGCCAACAGCGTCGGCAGCCATAACTTTTTAAAGAGCCCCTAACGGGAGCTGAGGGAGCCAGAATGAACTCTTGCGTGTGACCAGAATGACCTCTTGCATGCGAGAGGTGGAATTTGCCCCTAGGAGTCCAAGGCCACCACCCCAAGCTCAGGGAGGCGGGGGAACGTTTCGCCCCTCCCTGCCACCCCGCAGCCGTCGCAGCGGCCACCGACAGCATTGGCAGCCATAACTTTTTAAAGAGCCCCTAACAAGAACTGGGGGAGCCGGAATGACCTCTTGCGTGTAATGTTGCGTGTAATGACATCACACGCGAGATGACATCACATGCGAGAGATGGAATTTGCACCCAGGAGTCCAAGGCCACCACCCCGAGGCTCAGGGAGGTGGGGGAACATTTTGCCCCTCTCCCCGCGGCCATTACAGCTGTCACCGACAGCGTCGGCAGCCATAACTTTTTAAAGAGCCCCAATGAGAGCTGGGGGCGCCAGAATGACCTCTCGTGTGATGTCCGAGCATACAGCATAATGAAGATTTTTTAACAGATGCAAACAGGAATAACAAGCTAAGTTTAAAAGGTCACCATTGTTTGGATTTAATTGGGGAAGAACAGTGAAGCACATAAATATGTCAAAATTGGAGATAGATGTGCTAATCTGTCATTCTTAGTTGTGGAGTGGTAAGAGTAATTACCTCCTGAGACTTTGTTGTTATGCTCCATCTGTCTCAAGCATGGAGATCAATCCAAGATCAAGGATCAAACAGGAATGATAAGCTTAGTTTATATGGTTATAATTTGTTTGGGTTCAATTCTGGGGGGAAAACAGTGAAGGAAATAAATTTGTCAAACTTGGAGATTGATGTATCCTTAATTGTGAAATCCTGAGAGTAATTAGTTGAGACCCTGCCATCCATCTCCTCTCCAGCATGGAGGTGACTTTCCAGCATCATCTTCTTTGAAGTGTAGTGATTGGCTGTGCAGATTTATCTCCCCTGTCCCCAGACCAGAGACATACATTCCAATTTCTACTGTTCATTATGTTACTACTATTCATTATGTTACTACTAATCTACTATTCTACTGTATTTTTCCAAATAAGAGATAAAATAAAATGGTCCTTGTGGAGGATTTGTGAGAATACAGATATAAGGGCTGAATGAGGTTAGCCTATGTAGTGAGATAAGAAACCAACATCCCTGTTAAGTCCTGAGGATTCTGTTGTTCTGAGTGTTTTGATAACTTGCAACTCAGCAATTTTCCTTTCTAGTCTCTAGACCAACACGACTACCCACTTGAAGTAAACTAAAGAGAGAGCTAAAACAATTGTTTTAATGTGAAGCATTATTTCCATTTGGCCACTAGAAGGAGCATGGGACCATTACAAAGCTAGGATTTCAGAGGGTTTTTACTATGTCAAGAAGAAGAATATGTGATAGAGTTGCAGTTGACTAATGGTGACCCCATCCACCGAGAGATAAGCATAGGTGGTTTGCCATTGCCTTTATCTGCATAGTAACCCCAGCCATGGTGGACTCCCATCCAAGTATTTATTTATTTATTCCATTTATACCCCGCCCTCCCCACCAAGTACTGACCATGGCCAACCCAAAGAGTTCCTGCAATGCAAGCAACACGATAGATGGGTTTGGCGAAGACTGTTCTCCATAGTATAATTAGGATAATAGTTTAATATGACCCTGTGCTGTGCTGTGACCCTCACACTCTGAGCAAAGATGCATGCCAAGATAGAGATGTTACCTGCTATATGTAGGGTAATTAACTATTAAGTTGCATTGTATGGAAATATATGATGCTGCCTTAATACTGAGGCCTGTCCCTCTAGCTTGATACCGACTGTGCTGATGACTCTCAGGCAGAGGTCTTTCCAAACACAACTCATTTCTCTGAACAACTTGGGGGACGAACATGAGACCTGGGACTTTCTTTGCAAAGAGTGTGATCTACCTCCCTGTTTCATTTGAACCGTATAATTTGGGCAGAGGGGCCATAAATCTGTTAATTTACCCCACTGTAATTGGTTGATGAATCACTCTCTAAAAATAATCTTGTGTTCATTCACAAGGTAGACCCTAAAATGCATTTCAGCTGGAAACAACAGTGCTCGAGAGCAAGTTTGGTGTAGTGGTTAAGAGTGGCGGACTCTAATCTGGAGAACCGGGTTTGATTCCCCACTCCTCCACATGCAGCCAGCTGGGTGACCTTAGGTCAGTCAAAGTTCTCTCAGAGCTCTTCTCTCAAGAGCAGTTCTCTCAGAGCTCTCTCAGCCCCATCTACCTCACAGGGTGTCTGTTTCAGGGAGAGGAAGGGAAAGGGGATTGTAAGCTGCTCAGACACTCTGAGTGAAGGGCAGGGTATAAATCCAACTGTTCTTCTTTGTATTCAGTGTCTGTGGGCATAGATGCCTGTCTGAAAATTACATTCATTTCTATTTCTGGTTATCTGACTAGGGAAAGGAGCTGAACGTCTTCAAAGAGGGCCGAACCTTTGTGAAGGCTCGTGGCAATGCTTGCCTGTAGCAACTCAATTCTCAAAGGAAACTGATTATTCTTTTAGTGAAAAAGTACACTGAACACTTACAACAGGATCCAGATTGGTCGCTTCTCTGGAAACAGCAGGCAATCCCACTTCTACTGTAAACAGTCCTTCACAGATCTGTCTAAGGTGTGTTGGTCTTTGTTGGAGGTGTTGCCCTGGTGAGATATCCTTGAATGGCACATGACTTGGAAGTTTGCCAAAAATAACAGGAACCTGATTGCATCATTAGCTGTTTTTTTCTTTAAAGGTGACTGACAATGCAGTCCTTCTCAGTCTATTAAAGTAACTTTGGTTAGGATTGCATTGGCAGTGACGTCCGTATTCTGTATTTGTTACATTTTCTCCTACCCCTTCATGGGGGGCAAGGTGGAGCCTTGTGGGACTCCTGAGGTCGAAGGACCAAGCAGCAGTCCCCAAGGGCCACCTTCTGAAACCTACTTTCCAGGTAGGCCTGAAAGCCCTCCAAGTGGTGCCTCTGAGTTCCAGCCCTGAAAAGCTGTCCAGCAGGATACTGCAGTCCATGGAACTGAAAAGCCACAGAGAGGTCTCCAATAGGATCGGCAGAATCGTACTCCTTCTGTCCATCTTCCCGCACAGCTCATCCAGCATGGTGACCAAAGCCATTTCAGTGCCATAACCAGGCCTGAAAACAGACGGGAAAGGATCCAGACAATCTGCTTCATTCAAGAATCCAGGAAATTGTCCAACCACCCCCCATTCAGTCACCTTGGCCAAGAATGAAACATCTGAAACGGGTCAATAATTAGAAGGTCACAGCTCTAATTTATTATTTATTTGTTTATTTATTTTTCACATTTATACCCCGCCCTCCCCAATGGGCTTAGGGCGGCTAACAAGGGCAAGGTAAACCATGCCATAATTAAAACATAATATACATAGTAACTTAAAACATATTTTATTTATTTATTTACATTCAATTTATATACCGCTCTAACCTTTTGAGCGGTTTTACATATATCTATATAATCCATTAAAACATCCAATACTTAAAAACAACGGTGCTCAAACTGTTGATATCATAGGTCCAAAGATGGCATCGATACAGTTCCAGGTGGTACTTCCAATGCTGTTTGCGCCCACAGGAGAACGGCTTCGATCTTTGCAATATCCAGGTGCTTCCTCAGGGCCTCGTCAACCATGATGGTGATGGTATAGTAGGGGCGGCGGCTCCTACTCAAAGGCCTGGCGGAAGAGCTCTGTCTTGCAGGCCCTGTGGAACTGCATAAGGTCCCGCAGGGCCCGGATCTCCCCCAGGAGCTCATTCCACCAGGTATGAGCCGCCACCTAAAAAGCCCTGGCCCTGGTCGCAGCTACTTTGGTGTCCTTGGGGACCGGGATGACCAACAAATTTTGGGCCCCCGACCGTAGTGCTCTTGGGATTGTACTGCCAGTCTCCTACTTTAGAATCCTTTTTTCCCCTCCTTTCGGTCAAGTCGCAGGTGACTTACAGTGACCCCGTAGGGTTTTCAAGGCGAGAATGTTTGGAGGTGGTTTGCCATTGCCTGCTTCTACGTAGCAACCCTGGACTTCCTCGGCAGTCTCCCAGCCCAGTACTAACCAGGGCCAACACTACTTAGTTTCTGAGATCTGACAAGATGGGGCTAACCTAG